TGTGTCAGAGGCAATGAGATTGGCACAGGATAGAGCAGGGTTTAGGGCTGTTGTACATAGGGTTGCTATGAGTCGCAAGCGACTCGACGGCACATAACAACAACAACAACAAGTAGAGAAATGTATCCTAAGTTTACATTGCTTATTTTTTTAATTGAGATTTTAATGAAAGTTTATAGAGAACTTGAATATCCAATCATTGTTGCACATTTTCCTCCCTGACCATCACCCCCAAGTTTGCTTTTCTCTTTGAGAGAGAGAGACACTTCAAGTGTGTGTGTGTGTCTTCCAGTTCAAACAAATCAGCCATTGGAAGCCCTGTGGAACACAGTTCTACTCTATAACATATGCAGTCACGATCAGCTAGAGTGAGGTTGGTGGCACCTGGTTTACAATTGCTTCTTAATCTTACTTGTAAGCATTCATCCTGCTCCTGTCCCAGTGCTCAATGGTACCTGTCTTAACTCATTTCTGAGATTTCTGAGCCTTTTTAAAATGGTCCTTAATGTTAAAATTAAGGAGCCTGATGGCTTGCTTGGTGTATTACATGTTGTGCCAATAACTGAAAGGTTAGATGTTCGAATCCATGGATTGCTCTCTGGGAGAAAGAGGGGAGCCTTAGGAACTTGAGGGAGGAACTTTAGAAGTCAGAACCAACTCAAGCAGACTCAAGTGAGAAATTAATTTGCTTTTTTTACTTTTCCCATTTTGGATTCTGTTTTCTTTCTTTCTTTCCTCCTTCCCTCCTTCCTTCTTTTCTTCTTTTGGTGTACCGTCGAGTCAGATCTGACTGGCACAGAAGGAGATTACCCCTCCTGCTCCAACAGAACATCTGGTGGATTCGAACCTCATACCTTTGGGGTTGTAGCACAGCTTCTTGCCACTAGGCTACCAGAGCTCCCTTGGATTCTGTTTTCCAAGTTCCCCCAAAGGCAGTAAAGACCTATACCTAAAATAGTGGTTCTCAAAGTTTAGCATCCATCAGAATTCTTATTGCTTTATCTAGAAACCTAAGAATCATGTTTAGCCTTTCTTATTCTTACATACCTCATGCCTAACCCATCAGTATATCTTACTGCCTTTTCTTTGAGATTATAATCAGAGTCTAGTTCCTCACCGCATGCAGAGCTGTCCCTCCAGTCCGAGGCACCATCATTGCTCTCCTGTGATCTATTACCACCATGATCTCATACAACTCTGCTCCTCACACAACTCTGCTCTTCACACAGCAGCTAAAATGACCTTTTCATGTTCTAAAACTCTCCTGAAGCCTTTTATCATACTTACAATGAATTACAAAGTACAAATCTAGGCCTGTGAAGTCATGTATAGGGTGCTACCAGATACTCTCCAGTGTCATCTCCTAACACTTTCCCCTCTTCCATGATGTTCTTTCTCACCACACTGGCCTCTTTGCAGTTCCCTGAAGTGCATTCCTACTCCTCTAAAGATATCCTCAAGACTTATTCTCTGCATTTACTCAGGCCTCAAATGCCAGTTTATCTGAGGGAGCTCTGGTGGCCTAGTGGTAAGGAGCTGCACTGCAGTCCCAAAGAATATTCTCTGACTACTCACTATAAAATAGCAGATGTCTCCTTTCTTCCCATTACTTTTTATCCCTCTTTATGTTCCTGTATAGCACTTATCACTGTCTATTACTTGTATGTTGGTTTGCTTATTGTCAGTCTGTCACTACTAAGCTGCAAATTGGACATTGTTCACTGTCAATATCCCTAGACCTAGAAAAGAACACAAAGAATGAAATTGATAAGCATATGTCAAATGAAAGAATGAGGGTAGAAATATTGTAATGTGGTTGTCTTATATCTAATACTGCTATAACAGAGATACCAAAAGTAGATGGCTTTATCAAACAGAAGTTTATTCTTAGTTTAGGAGGCTAGAAGTCTGGGTTCATGACTGGGGATGGCCCTGTCTCTGTTGGTGTAGACGCTTGTTCTCTTTAGTGTCTGTGTTCCTGGTGTTTCCAGGAGACCTTCTTCTGCTTTCCCAGTGTCACAGAGTTTCATTGAGCAACGGCCTGGTTCTAGAAGGACTTTTGCTGTTGTTGGATGCCATTGAATCAACTACAACTCATAGTGACCCCATGAGCAGTGGATCTGAACTTTGCCCTGTCCTGTGCTGTCCTCATCGTCTGTTAGACTTGAACCCATTATTACATTGTGTTAGTCCATCTTGTTGAGTGTCTTCTTTTCCTTCATTGACTCTCTACCTTTTCCAAAGCATGATGTCCTTCTCCAAGGACCTACTTCTCTTAACAACATGTCCAAAATATGTGAGATGAAGCTTCATCATCTTTGCCTCCAAGACACATCCTGGATGCACTGTCTCCAAGACAGATTTATTTGTTCTCTTGGAAGTCCATAGGATAATCAATACTCTTCTCCAACATCACAATTCCAAGTTCTTCTATCCTCCTTATTCATTGTCCAACTTTCAGATGTACAACAAATAATTGAAAAGGCCATGGCTTGAATCAGATGTATCTTAATTTTTAAACTGACATCATTGCTCCTTAACACCCTAGAGAGCATATTTACCCAATACATCTTTTGATTCCAAAAGACTCCTGGATATTATTTCTTGGTGATAGATAGTAGGAGTCCCTGCTTTAACTCAGTTTCCTCCTCTTTTATCTCTAGTGAAATGAAATGTATCACTGGCAACACCCGAGGGCTGAGATTGGATTAGGGAGTGTTGCATTCTACCCTTAACCCTCCTATACTTTTTGGTTTATTAGGATCATGGGGATGATCACATAGCGTCTGCATTATTAATACATACGTATATTTTGAGGGAGCATCCACTTCCAAAATAGCTGCCCTCCGAAAACTATGAATGTGGAGAAATAGTGAAAGTTATACAACTGTTCAGGTCTTTTAATTATAGGGTCACTATGAGTCATCTACGACTTGACGTCACTTAAAAACAACAACTGGTGGCCTAGTGGCAAGTAGCTGCTCTAGAGTCTTAAATGCACATGGTTCAAAGCCACCAGATGATCTGCAGAAGAAAGATGGTCAGTCTCCTCCTGTTTGATTAACTGCCTCTGAAAACCCGCTGGAGGGTTAGCTATGGTTTGGTCCCGTCTCCGGTACACAGCAACAACATATATTTTGAGAGTACACAAGTCAATCCAGGGCAGTGGTAAAGGATGACTTGGCTTGATTGTAAGAGGTACTGTTTTATTTACAGTTTTGGAGAAGAGGCTGTGAACTGAGACCTGGGTAAAAGGAGGGTTGTTGTTTTTTTGTTTTGTTTTGTTTTGGTTTTTTGCTTTGCTATGTAATTGTCCTTTTATTTATCTTAAAAGTTATTTATGTTCACAGTTTTAAAAAAATCTGCTCGCACAATCTGGATACCTTTTTGGAATCCTACCTCATCCTGCTCCCACAGATAATTCACTTTTTTGAGTCTTTTTCCTTCTAATCCTTTATTGCTATATATTACTAATTAGTCTTTGTAAAGATTATTACATCATTTACAACTGAAGATACTTAAATATCTGTTTGTAGTTTCTGTTGTTTGACTTCTTTTCTTGACTAAAATACTTTCCTGCATGTTTTAAAATCTTGATTTATTCCCTAAGAAATCGCATCATTGTGTTCTGGATCTCTTGATGGAGTTGAATACTCAAGACGAAAGGAAAAGGGATTTTTGAAGATGACTGTGCCAAAGACACTTGCTTTCTGCTATCTGTCATTGCTTTGGCAGAGAGAAACAATTACTCTTTCAGATCTTTTGAGGTAAGCTGGTTCACTAGTAGGATAATGTTTTTGCTGATTGTGTGAATTAAGGGTAAACCTTTGAATATTTTTAATTTTACAACAAAGAGGGGATTGAAATAATTGATAACCTGAGTTCTGAAATGTAATCCCTTTTTGGACTAGTAATTTATTTTTTCTGTGTTTGTTTCCTAATGATAGAGTGGAAATACTGCTCTAGTGGTAATCCAAATTCAAACCCATCAGCTGTTCCATGGGAGAAGGATGGTTAATCTCCTACTGTGCATTTTGTTGTTTTGTACTGTCAAGGCAGAACCATCCCGTAGCTGACCCTCCAGTAGGTTTTCAGAGGTAGTAAATTGCACAGGAGGAGATGGCAGTTCTTCTCCCTCAGAATAGCTTAGTGGATTTGAACCATGTGCAGTTAGGATTATAGCACAGTTTCTTACCAGTAGAGCTCCCTGTGCAATTTACTGCATCTGAAAACCTACTAGAAGGTCAGCTATGGGTCAGTTCCAACTCACTGGTACTCAGCAAAATAGTGTGGGTAAGCAAAAGGTCATTAAAAAATGTGAATAAAGTACTTTGAAGATGAAAAGTAACATTTAAGTACCTAAGTAATAATGTTGTTATGTAGCATCTAGTCAACTACAACTCGTAACAACCCTACAAACAACAGATCTGAACCTTGCCTTATCTATCCTATACCATATTCACGATCTCCACATGCTCAAGTCCTTTATTAGTTACTGTGTCGTCTTGTTTTATTGAGCTTTTCTCTCGACTCTCCACCTTTCCCAGCAAGATGTCTTTTTCCACAGACTGGCCCCTCCTTATAATATGCCCTCCAAAACTCTCTTCATTGCCATTGAGTTGGAACCAACTCATAGCTGACTCTAGTGAGTTTTCAGAAGGTATAGATAGCAGGGGAGGCGATTGCATGTCTTCTATGGACAGCTGGTGGGTTTGAACCAACTTGCCTTTGGTTCAAAGAGAGTGTGTGTGTGTGTGTGTGTGTGTGTGTGTGTGTGTGTGATACTACTATAGTAATACTATCATGTATTTTTCCTTTCTAAGAGAAGAGATGAATAGCTGATCATTTTTAAAAAGTGGTTGTTATTATTAGTATAGTTAAACAAAAGCATTATTGGTGTGGTAAGAACTAACATAGAGGTTATCTATGTTTAAAAAAATAAAACTCTTGGAAGAACTTATTAGATGACATTTATATTTAAAGAAACTCAGTGAGTTCTTATGGTTAATGTATAATATGCCATTATGTAAAAAAATGTTTAATTTAATGGAAGATTGCCAAAATTACTAAAATATTAATTTTGTGAGTAGAGAGTTTAAGCACATAGATTCAGAACTTTACTGAGTAAAATCCTGGTTCACTTATGTGTTACATTATCTTAGTAATATTATTTCCTGCTGCCCCTCTTTTAGTAAAATAGGATATTATAGTCAATCAGCCAAAAGCGTATAACTAGTAAATATGTATATGGACAGCCTCAAAACATATGAAACAAACTCTGAACAGAGCTAAAAAGAGAAATAGTTTTGCAATAAAAGTAGGAGACCTTAACATACCACTTTCAGTGATGGGCAGAACAATTAGAAAGGAGAAGATTACAGAAAATCTAAGTAATACAATGAACCAAGTTGAGCTCGTAGGCACACAGACCACACGACCCAGCATTATATATGTTCTTCCCCACCACACGTGGATCATTCTCCAGAATAGACTGTATTTAAGCCACAGAAGAAACTTTAGTACATTCAAAACCATCAAAATACATAAAAATATCTTCTCTGATGGTAATGTAATAAAACTAGAAATCCATAACAAAGAACACATACAAAATTAAATACCTGGAAACTGAATAACTCTTTAATTTAGAACTACTAGGTAAGAATTTAAGAATAAAATTCCTAAGAGTTCTGGTGGCCTAGTGCCAAGAAGTTGTGCTGCAACCATAAAGCCTTGCAGTTTGGATACAGCAGATGCTCCACTGGAGAAGGAGGGGCAATATCACCTCCTGTGCCACTTGGATTTGATTTGATGGCCCAAAACAAGTAAATAAATAAAATTCCTACAAAACAAATAGCGTTCTGAAATCTTTGGAGCACCACAAATAACCCTACAACTGAAACAAACAGAATAGGAGCAGAAGTCCACAGTCACCAGAAGAAAAGAAATTAAATAAGTGATTGTATACAAAAAAATAATACTTAGAATCCCCTAGACTGGAAGTAGGATTTTTGAGAGGATCAATAAAATTGGCAAACACTGGCCAGATTGAGATGGGATAAAATGGTAATATACCAGTCACCAAAATAAAAGAGGAGATGGATGACATTTTAACAAAATCAGTTGAGAGAAAAAAGATCATAACATATTTATAAAAAAATAATACTGAAAAAATATTTGAAAACCTAGGAGAAATCATTTTCTGAAGCTTTGTCTGACACACGTTGGGCATGTTGCAAGGAGGGACCTGCCCTTGGAGAGGAACATCATGCTTTGAAAGGGTGGAGGGACAGTGCAGCAGAGGAAGACCTTGGATGAGACAAATTGGCTGGGGTAATGGGGGATAGCTATGTCAGAGACAATGAAGTTGGCTCATGATAGAGCAGGGTTCAGAGCTATTGTACATAGGGTCACCCTGAGTTGCAAGTGACTTGACGGCACATAAAACAACAACAAAAACAACAAAAGAAATGGACCAATTTATAGAAACAAACGCCTTACCTAAAATAATAGACTCATAACAAAAGAAAAAAATCAAAGAAGTTATAAAAAACAAAACAAAACCCCTCCCAGCATAAAAACTTTAGTCCAGATGACTTCACTGGATAATTCTACCCAATGTTTGTATTGCTGTTGTTATGTGCCATCGAGTCTCCTTGCAACTCATAATGACTCTGTGTACAACAGCCCTAAACCCTGCCCAATCCTGTGCCAATCTCACTGTCTCTGACACACCTACCCCCATTACCCCAAGGACTGGTCTCTCCTTGCAGCATGCCCAAAGTATGTCAGATGAAACTTCAGAATCCTTGCTGCCAAGAAGCAGCCTGACTTCACCCTTTCTAGGATCAAAATGTACGTTTTCTTAGCAGTCCGTGGTTCATTCAATACTCTTCTCCAACACCACAGCTCAAAGACGTCAATTCTTCTTCTGTCCTCCCTAATCCTTGTCCATCTCTCTGACACATAGCAAATGATTGCAGAGACCATGGCCTGTATCAGGCACACCTTAGTCTCCAGACTGACATCATTGCACTTCAACTACTTTGGAGCCTTTCCCAATGCAATACGTCTTGTAATTTCCTGGCTGCTGGTGCCAAGAATGTTGACTGTGTAGCCAAGCAATCTAAAGCTGTGAACAATCTCAATCTCTTCACCATCCATCCTGATGCTGCCAATTGGTCCAGTGGTAAGAATCTTCGTCTTCTTGATATTGAGCCTCAATCCATATTGAAGGCTGCAGTCCTTGACCCTCTGCAGCAAGTACTTCAGGTCCTCCTCAGTTTCAGCAAGAAGAGTTGTGTTATCTGCATAACACAGACCTTATGTCAACACTTCTCCTCATACAGCCCTTCCTCCCAGATAATCTGTTCTGCATATAGGTTGAAAAGGTTTGGAGATAAGACACATCACTGGCATACGCCCTTCCCAATTTTGAACCATTCAGTGTTTCCTTCTGTTCTGATGATTGCCTCCTGGTCCAAGTATAGGTAATATATTAGCACAATCAAGTGTTCTGGGATTCCCATTCATCTCAGAGTCAGCCACAGTGTGTTATGATTCACACAGTCAAACGCCTTTGCATAATCAATGAAACACAGACATTCATTCCTCTGGTATTCCCTGCTTTCAGCCAAGATTCATCTAATATTAGCTATACTATCCCTAGTACCACGACCCCTTCTAAGCCCAATGTTTGTAGAAAAGTTTATACTAATTCCCTTCAAACTATTCTAGAAAAGGGGGAAAACACCATCTGATCATCTCAAGTGAACCAGAAAAAGCATTTGATAAAGCACAACTGCATAAAGATTGAAAAGGTATAGAGACAGGTTATCTGGGAGGCTGGACTCTATGAGGAGGGATGTGGCATCAGGATTGGAGGAAGAATCATCAACAGTCTGCATTATACAGATGACACAACCCTGCTTGCTAAAACTGAGGAGGACCTAAAGCAATTGCTGTGGAAGGTCAGGGACTGCAGTCTTCAGTATGGATTGAGACTCAATATCAAGAAAACAAAAATTCTCACCACTGGGCTGATTGGCAGCATTATAATGGATGGTGAAGAGGTTGAGATTGTTCACAGTTTTGGTTTGCTTGGCTCCACAGTCAACACTCTTGGCACCAGCAGCCAGGAAATTAAAAGACGTGTTGCGATTGGAGAGTCTGTGGTTAGAGCCCTCTTTAAAGTGCTGAAGTGCAAAGATGTCAGTCTGGAGACTAAGGTGTGCCTGATACTTC